GAGAGCAAGCATCACATGATAATTCATTAGATTGAAGAATCTTTTGGTTCTTTAATGGATGTCCATGTGAATTTTCAATGATTCTTCTCATCATTATGGACCTAGTATGACCTAATCGGTCATGCCAAATGGTAAATATATCTGGATTTATGAACTTCAAGTTCGTAGTTGCATATGTTTCCATTACTCGTATATGAGTATAATATAATCCAGAAGATAAAGCAGGCAACTTTTCAAGTATACATTTGTTATGTGAGACAATAGATATAATATAGAGATATTCTATATTATTCTTGTTATCAGTCTCAATATGATAACCATTGCAACGTATATCTTTAAAACTCAGTAGATTTCTCTTTGATTGACTAGAGAACAATACATTGTCAATTGTAAATTTTGTTCCTCTAGGCAAAATTATGTCTGCTTTTCCAAAACCTTCAATCAAGTTTGCAGAACCTGATATAGTATTGAATTTTGCTTTCAGCATTGTCAATTTAGAAAAATATTGTCTACTTTTCAGTATTGTGTGCGTAGTCGCACTGTCTGCCAGACATAGATCACCATTGCTCATTTTCGAGTCATCCAATATATGAAAACTGTCCATGCTTCTAAACAAAATAATTACAATAAGAAGAAGGAAGAAGAAAAAAACTTGAAATACAAAACATACATAAAAGATATAAAAAAACATTAGTTCTAAATATTCTCAAAATCAAAAGAAGCACTTGCTATTCCATCCATTGTGCTCACTGTGCCAATTTGTTCTCCAGGAGATTCAAGAAAGTCAGCCACATCCAAACTTGTAATATTGGCAGTGTCAAAGATATCACCATCCTGGTAGCCAAGATTTGCTTCCACATTTTTTCTTTTTTCTTTCAAGGAAGCTTGATAAAGATTCACTAAGTGTTTCGATGTACGACAAATATGTGCCCAATGTCCAGTCATACCGCATCGGAAGCACTTATTTTCAACACTTCTGGAATTCTGATCTTGTGGAGCTTTTTCTTTATGATCAACATTTCGTGTGGTTCTTTTAAAATTTGGACGATTATAACGCCCACCACGAAATGAAAAATTATTTCTTCCTCTGCCACGGTCACGCCCTCGACCTCGACCACGATTATTGAAATTTACAGTATTCGCCTCTGGGAATGGCGTTTCTCCCGTTGGTCGAGATTCATGATTTTTCATCAATAGCTCATTATTTTGCTCAGCAACCAGAAGGCATTATATGAGCTCAGAATATTTCTTAAAACCTTTCTCTCAATATTGTTGTTGCAAGAGTATATTCGAGACATGGAAGGTTGAGTATGTCTTTTCTAGCATATCATTATCAGTAATTTTTTCTCCACATAACTTCAATTTCGAACTGATTTTGAATAGTGCAGAATTATAATCACTTACTGATTTGAAGTCTTGGAGCCTCAAATGCATCCATTCATAACTGTTTTTTGATGATCATATCTTTCTTTCAAATTTTGCCATAAGGCAAGGGGGTCTTTTATTGTCAGATACTCCATTTTCAACCCCTCATGAAGATGGTGACGAAGGAAAATTATGGCTTTTGCCTTTTCCTGACTTGTGGTTGTATTTCCTTCTTTGATGGTTTCTCCCAAGTTCATGGCATCAAGACGGATTTCAGCATTTAGTACCCATGACAAATAATTATTTCCATTGATATCAAGAGTGACAAATTCTAATTTGGTTAAATTTGTCATGGTGACACTATCTCAAAAAAAACTCAAATTAGGGATTTAACATATGAAAACAACATATTACTTGAAAAATAAAAATTAAATTACCTACCTTCGGAACCTACCTTCAACAGGGGAAATGACAAAGGCTCGTGCTGATAACGTGTTGTAAAATTGAGGAACGAAACGAGGCAACGTCGGGGAAATAAAATAAACAAAACAATTCAAATAATAAAGAAATTTCAAAATTCAAAATGACATTTCCCACCAATTTTCAAACTTGATTTCCCACCAAATTTCTCATTAATTTCTCACAAATTCTCACCACTAATTTCTCACAAATTCTCACTACTAATTGAGCACCACATTGACCTTATTTATAGGCCATAGATAAGCATGTGGTGTGATTTACATGACACTAATAATGTCTAAAATTGAGACACATAGGGCATTTATGATTTCAACATATGGCATGGATAATGGAACATATGAGGTTTATGAATAAAAGACACATAGATGACATATAGAGCATGGATTTTGAGACATCTAAAAATCGGACACTCAAGGGTTATTGGGTATCTATTTAATTAAAAATTCATAATAATTTAATCATTATTACAATAAATTGACCATTTTTTAAAACGAGTTAGCCGTGTTTTTTTCCTTAATAAAAAAGAGAGAAAAATCTACTTATCTTTTTGTTTGTTTTTTTCTACTTATCTTCTCCTGTCTTTACCTACCACTACCCCATTCTCCACACAGCAGAAATCGGGCGGCTCCCACAGCCAAGAATTTGCATTCAATCTGAGGATCCAGCAGCAATTGGCGGTAGGCGATTCTTCTATTATTGAACACTGAAGGTAATTTCATGCTTTATTCTTAAGCAATGGCTGTTCAATTTCCATTCAATCCTCCATTTTCCCTTTAATGTCTTGCACTGTCTTGTCTTTGTTTGCTAAATACTCTGATCCATAGTTGCCTGGGCAGCTAAGCTAGGATTTGATCTCTTTTATTTAATTAATTAATAAGCTAATCTCTCCAACTTCCCTCCCACTTTATGGATTAAGAATTAACTCAAGATTTGGGGGAAATTATGGAGATTGAATCTGGGTTTGGTTGGAGAATAGAATAGGCTGAAAGCAAGTAGAGATGAGTTAGGGCTTGCTTGGGGACCTTGAAAATCAATTTAAAGTGAAAATCAAATTTTTTTAATTTGTCAAACATGATTAATGGAAAGTAATGAAAAAAGTGATTTTGGTCCCTTTGGTCCTTAGTTCTCTATCTCCATTTCTCTTATTTTTCCTAGGTATTTGGGAGTTTTGTCGAGGATTTTTGGCAATGGTGTTCTTGACAGAGGAAATAATTTTGTTTCGGTATCTGATAATGGTTTGAGGAGTTCTCAAGCTTTTGCAAATTTGCATTCTTAATCATATGAAAGGAACTATATCCTCTATATCTTCAAATTGCTTGCCTTCACCAGCCATTACAGAATTATGAAACTTTTGGTACGGTCTTCAAATATAGAAGAGATGAATTTCTCTAATCTTGATACATAGAATTAAACATGGTCGTTTGGTATGTTTATGTTAGATTCCAAGAATTGGAATTGAATAGTGAATTCATACTGAGTATAGTTACAGATTTAGGAACTTTTTGCCATTGTTCTGCCTTTTTTAATGTTCAGTTTTATATCTATGCAGTGGTGTGACTACTTCGAATTACACTGAACTAAGTCAATAGTATACTTATGTTTAGGAGAGAACTAAACTAAGTTTTCTTTGCTAACATGAGCGTGTAGCTCAGCGGTAATTGACATATATTTCTGCTCCAACCCAGAGGTCACGAGTTCGAATCCACTCACCCCCACTAACCTTTTCTTTGATCTACATTATATCTTAGAGGGCAGATAATTAAAGCAGTTAGGTTTGGGGATTTTAGATAACTGAAGATAGACTCTCCACGTTTTTCCACTCTGAAACATATAGAAAAAAAATTTCTCTAATCCCATTTTAAACAAGATTTTTTATCACGTTCAAACAAGGCTTCAACTCATAATTTCTTCTTCTTCTTCGTCTTTTTTTTTTTTGTGATTTTTGAATATCTATATCATGAGATAGAAATGTCAAATCACTAATAATGAATAAAAATATATCATAAGATTGTATCTTGATTTGATATGCCTGTTTGAACATTAAATCGATTGAATTTTGGTCCTATTGTATATGCACTAGCATAGATGAAAATATATCGTATATGGAAACCAATAATTTGCCACAATCCATCCAAGTATTAAAAAGAAATATCAAAATAGTTATCTAATAGTAAGTTTCAAAGAAAGTTTAGATTAGCTATAGGCCGTGCCATTCTCTAGCCTCTCCTCATATGAAGATTGAGTTTTTTCAAAGGAATTAGAGAAAAAAGTGAAGAGGGGAGTGATCGTGTCCAATGGCCCCAAAGGGTGTTTCTATCTACTTTGTTCTAGTTCTTCCGTGGTTTTTTTTTCAAGAAGTAGCATGAGTCGAGATTTAACAAAGACCTATTTTGTTGTTGTGGAGGCGATTTTTGGGAGGGGCTTTCTTTCCTGCTGGTTGGGTATCGAGAATCTCTCCGTTGGATGTCGATAGTGTTGTTGTGGCTAACAAAATAAAAGACAACATTGTTATATATGGTTCGTGGTTTTATCATCAGGGTGTTTTGAAGAGTTATCATACTCAAAATTGGAGAGGGTAACCGCCTATGATTTATTTGGATGACTCTAAACGACGGCGGAGGTGCGACAGCGCTCGACTTGAACACCATTTTGGAATTTGTTGAGGTTATGAGTATTTATTGTATTGAGATTCACCAGATTTGGGAAATTTGCTTAAACCTTCCTTACCAATAGAGAATAAGGCAAACTTTGGAGGCAATTATTTCCCAACACAATTCTAAATAGGGGTGCTATTATTGACAAGATCTCTCAATTAATTATGGATTCTCTCCCGACATCATGAGTATAATTATTTTCCTTCACAGATCCTGATTGCGCTCTTCTGATCTAACCCTTACACTTAGTGGTCTTATTTTATTTTTTAATTTTTTATAAAAAAAATAAATAAATAAAGGGACAAAGAAAAAGAAGAAAAAAGATGGCTGGCAAATAATGATAATCTCACAACCAATAATTTAGACTTTTTAATTTGAAGTGTCCTTTTTTTTTTTTTTTGGAGTACAGAATTTAAAAGTGTCAAACAAAGCCAATAAGGCTACGTTTAGTATATCAATAATGACAGATTTGGGTATCACAAGAAAAAGGAAAATCGAAAAAGGCAAATTGCTCGCTGGCTTAACAAAGATTCCTTGTAACGACGTCGTTTATTTGCCAACTTCTACCCCCACCCACCATCGATTTTTCCTACTCGCTTTCTGCTTTGACCTCTGCCTTCGCTCCTTTGACTCTCAATTTATCGAAGAAACTGGATCTTCGTAACGCAATCTTTTGCACTGTGGTGGTGAACAAATCACTCTGCTCTGAACTTTCGATGTTTCACCGGAACCTTGCTGATGATAAGCATAATTTTGATTAAAATCGGATCATTAAACTCATCTGCTCTCGGGAGAATCCTCGTGGGATCCGCAGATTTTCAATTTTTTTAGGTATGTTGTTGTTGTATTGGCTCTGACTTGTATGCAAGTTTTTAAATCTCCCCAGCTTGTGGGTTCCTCTACTTCTTTGTGAGGCGAACTAGTTATGCTGAACTTTGGTGTGTTTTGGTGAATTGGGTTCTCGATCATTCCGTTTATAGTGTTGGCCTCTTGGTTTTGGGGAAGGTTTGATCGCAAGGATTGGTTTATCTTTCTGGGTTAGCTTTTGTTTTGACTGAGATTGATTTTTTTTTTCCTTTTCTTCTATCTGAGCGCGTGATTCTGATTCTTGTCATAAAGCTGGATAATTATATTTTGAGATTTTTCTTAAACTTCCATGTTTCTAGTTTCTTTGGCATCCCATTTCTTGTGCTTAATGCGTTGTTGCTATCCTCCAACGTTTGACTCTGGCTGTAACGAATACAAAGACATTTGTCTCACGGCCCATTTGATGGATATGTAAACTGTGCAGCATTTCTGGTATTGATTTTGAGAATTTTTGAATCATTTTGTAGGAATGGCCTCAACCAAAGATACAAATGGCAATGGGGAAATAGAAGTATCTAATAGCAAAGAAGGAGAAGCTCAAAGTGCTTTCCACTTTTCTACATCTCAAAAGACCTTATTGAATGATGAAGTCACACAAAGAAGATCCCCTGTTTCCATTACTGTGGTCGCTCCTATTAAGAGAAGATTCTTCAAATTTGGCTCAGCATCTGCTAGGTTCCTGCAGATTGCCAAAGATAGAGATGAGGTTTCACGATCTGTGCATTCTTCAAGTAGTCACCATTTTCGAGAACGCCTAAATGAAGTATTTTCTAAGAAAATTGATTGGGCTTCACTTCTGAACATGAGCAAAACATGGATCAGAGATCCAATGAACATGGCTCTCTTCATCTGGATCACTGGTGTTGCTGTTTCAGGTGCAATCCTATTCCTTGTCATGACTGGGATGTTAAACGGTGCATTGCCCAAGAAGTCCCAAAGAGATGTTTGGTTTGAAGTCAACAATCAAATTCTGAATGCATTGTTTACCCTTATGTGTCTGTACCAACATCCAAAGCGAATCCACCATCTCATACTTCTATCTAGATGGAAACCTGAAGATGTTGCCAGACTTAGAAAGCTTTACTGCAAAGATGGGACTTATAAACCTCATGAATGGGCACACATGATGGTGGTTATAATTCTCCTAAACGTGAACTGCTTTGCTCAATATGCACTTTGTGGTCTTAATCTGGGTTATAGGAGGCCTCAGCGTCCAGCCATAGGAGTAGGAATATGCATATCCGTTGCGATTGCTGCACCTGCCATTGCTGGTATCTATTCCATTATTAGTCCCTTGGGGAAGGATTATGATTCTGAACTCGACGAGGAAGCACAGCTTCAGAATCAGACAGTCGTTGGTAATCAACAAGAACGGTCTAGGTTGAAATCACTAGAGAAAAAATATTCATTTGCTACAAGAGATGAGCATAGAATTATCGAGAACAGGCCGCAGTGGAGTGGCGGGATACTAGACTTTTGGGATGATATATCTCTAGCATACCTTTCCCTTTTCTGTAGTTTTTGTGTATTTGGGTGGAATATGGAGAGACTGGGTTTTGGAAACATGTATGTCCATATTGTGACATTCATTCTGTTTTGTATGGCTCCTTTCTGGATTTTTCTCTTAGCTGCTGTAAATATTGATAACGGAACTGTTAGGACGATTATGGCCATTGCTGGGATTATTCTTTGTGTGTTTGGTTTACTTTATGGCGGTTTTTGGCGGATACGGATGAGAAAGAGATACAATTTGCCAGCATATAACTTCTGTTTTGGCAAGCCTGCTGTGGCTGACTGCAGTCTATGGCTTTTCTGTTGTTGGTGTACTCTGGCACAGGAGGCACGGACTGGGAATTCTTATGATATAGTACAAGAGAAGTTTTGCAGAAAACAAGCAGAGACAGATGAGAGTAACGAGGCACTCGGTGAAGATGACAAATCCGGTGCACGTTCTCCGCTTGCAAACGCATCCAGCCCATCTAAGATTATCACAGGTGATTCTCTTACTCTTAACTCAACGGGGTATTATAGTCCAGAAAGACTACTTGCTTCAGTGAAAGAAGAACTTGCAGAAGGTACAGATAAAACTATGGCGCCGCCTTCTCCTTCTTTGATTCAGAGAGGAGCAACGTAACTCAGTTAAGCCAGAGGCTTGGAACTTGTGGTATGTAAATAGAAATATGTTGAGTCCTTTTGTACTACTTTTGTGTAAAATGAATTGAAATTGCTTCCATTTTCTTGAGTATTCTGTCCATTACATGTAGAGAGCTCCCACGGGAATTTGCTTCATACTTTTATGATTTTGAGTTTTATTCAAAGACCCATGTAGGCTATTTTGGCTTATTGTGAAGTATGATAATAGGTTTTTGGTTAGGCTTTGCTATAGGAAACATGTGTTTCCTTATGTTCTTTGAAACAATTGAAGCAAAGAGCTAATAATTGTTGAAGGGGAAATGAGAATGCCAAAAAAAGGTCTTAATAGAGAGGATATTATCTTTTGAAGTTTGTTGATACCATGGATGTTGTTGTAATACCTTTAGACCAAAATCCTGTTGCTATATCTGCTTTGTTCCTGCTGCAGATTTTGTGAGAGTAAGGCCAGTTTGGTAACGTTTATGTTTCTTGTTTCTCGTTTTCAATTTTATTGAGAAACTTAAGCATTTGACAATCATTTAGGTTTCTTGTTTCTCATTCTTTCCGAAACATTCCCAAAATCGTATAGAAATTTTGGAAACAATAGAATCAAGTTTCTTTCTTCTTTTTTCTATATGAAACAAAACTTTCATTGAGAAAAATGAAAAAGATAAAAAAAAAAAAAAACACCAAAAAGGCCTAAAAAGGGCATACAAAAAGACAGCCCAGCAGGAGGAAGCCCCCTAAAAAAGGACTCCAATCCAAAAGAATAAGACCAAGCGAATAATTACAAAAGTGCTGAGAAACCGAGCCTCATGACGAAGTATTAAATCTAACAATGTTCTAAACATAGTCCATAGACTTATCCACCCTCCTAAACACTCTATGATTCCTCTTCAGCCAAATACCCCATAACATAGCTAGAAAGCAAGCTTGCCACAAAAAATGACCCTTATCCCGAAAAGGGGGGAATAAGAGCACTTCCTCCATCATAGCCCTACAATCCCTGGCACAAACCTAGGAAATCTCGAAGCACAAAAAGAAACGATACCAAAGATCCTGAGCAAACTGAGAACCAAATTTCTTATTTCTTGTTTCTACATTTACTTTTGTTCCTCCTGCAGATTTTGTGATTGCTTAGGGTTTCCTTGATGATGTTCATGTTTCTTATTTGTTCGTTTCCGGTTTTGTTGAGAAACTTAAAGCATTTGGCAACTATTTAGGTGTCTTGTTTCTATTTTTTAGGAACACTCAAAATTGTATAGAAATTTTGGAAATATCATCATAAATTTCTTGTTTCTTGCTCCTGTTTTCAATTTTTTTTTTCAAAACATAGATAAAATTATTGTTTTACCGTTCTTTGACACTTATAAAATGCATAATAAATATTAAAAAGTGTTTATAAAAATTAAAAATTTTGAATACTTAATTGAAAAAATAATTTTTATAAAAATTTATTGGCTACCTTCCTTTTTTCAATAAAAAAGGTAAAAAACAAAAAATGGTTATCAAATGCAATTATGTTTTTCTTTATTAAGAGGTAGGAAACAAGAAACGAGGATATTACCAAACAGACTCTTAATAATATATTTGATATAGTCGAAGGACCTATAATGAGCTCAAGACATCAGCTATCTCCGTATTGCTATAATAGTTTGGTATCATACGCGCTCCTATGAATTTGCTTTTGACTTCTAGCCTAGATGACGTGTACGAAGCGGAAAGTGTCCTTCCTACTCCGTCTCACACAGTCGCACCCTTTTTCTACCATCTATCCTACCGATTTGATTGCTTCTTAATCTTCATCTTTGTGCTGTTTCCATGACGCAGTGGGTCTTACATTTCATAAGAATCTCCAAAACCATAAATTGGATATTCCTCTTCCTCCCATTGAATCTCATTCTCATGAACTTTTCATGTTCACCCACTGCAATCACCATCACATCACCATCACACAACATCAGTAAGTAGAAGGAATGTAGCAGACAAGATATTGGTCCCTGTACTTTTTAAAACGTCATACTTTTAACTTTTATTCATTTAAGTTCATATACTTTTAAAACGTCTATTTTGGTTCCTATACTTTTTAAAAGTGACTATTTTTGGTCTTTTCATTTTCATTTTTATCTATCTCGTGTTCTTTCAACAAAAAAAATTTAACATGACACTTCATTCATAAATTTCTTGACGTATACCATAAATTTGTATTAAAGGATCCCCATTGTTTATAAAATTTGTGTTAAGATTTTAAAAATAGAGATCAAATTGGTCTCTTTTTAAAAATAATGGACCATAAAAGATGGTTTGAAAGTGCGAACAAAAGTTGAAAGTACAAGAAGTAAAATGAACGTTTTGAAAATATAGGAATTAAAATGAACTAAATTCAAAAGTACGTACAAGACTAAAATAATATTTAAATTTTTTTAATTCATTGACCAAATATATATCATTATAGGTTAACATTATCATCACTAAAAGAATAAAAGTCACATATATAATTTGTGCAGTCTTTATATGGACCAATCTCTATGATGCTTTAATTTATGGACCACAGTTTAGCCCCAACAGTCAACACCAGATCCCCATGAACCACAACCACCATTTTTTTTCTTTCTTTCTTTTTCTAAAACTTTCAAATTTCTCTCTCTTAAATTTAGGGTGGGTGAGTCAATTTTAATGTTACACTATCAATTTCATCAATCTAAATTGTGAACTCGTATGAGTATTACAACCGACATTAGTTAAGGTATTACTTGCCTCCCTAAGTTCAAATGCCGTGACCCGTTTTGTTGAACTATAAAAAATGTTTTTTTAATTAATACCTCCAAAATCTCAATTAACAAAACACTCGAAATGATATTTAATGTCCAAACCTAATGACAAAAGTACTTGAACCTAGCCACAAAATTGAGCAAATTAAAAACCCTCAAACTTAACAACAAAATGCTCAAATCTAATTAATTAAAAGCATCTACCACAATTAGAAAAATTAATACTTGCAAAAATAGGACATCCAAGTGCTCAAAGTCTTATATAACGTAGGCTGATGTTGCCACCAGCAAATGTTAGACTTCATATAGAAAAGGCTCTAAATAGGCACACATGGTAGTTTAGAGTTGAAAGAGCTCGAAGTTGGAATTCAATAGTCTACAAGTTCATCCTTGAGAGTGAAGTTGGAAGAATCTCTGTTGTCGTGTATCCGATGATGCTAGCGTAGTCAAAAGAATGGGTCAAGTGGGAATTGATTTGTTTAAGTTTTCGAAGTTAGTTATCTTAGTTTTATGTTTTATCACCTTCTCTGGAGAAGCACCTCTTTCCGATGCTATACTTATATTTTCCAACATGTATCAACAAGCAAGTGGGGATAACTAATCATTAAAAAATGGGATCATACCTAATCGAGGAAATTAATTGCAACCTTTAAGGTTTAAATTGTTCAAATCGAAAGTTTAAAATTAAAATTGATTCACTCATCTAAGTTCAAAGGTGCAAATTGAAGTTTTTTTTTTTTAATTAATTTTATTTTAAGAATATAGCATTACAAAGGTGGGAAATTAAAATCTTGTAAAAAAATAATAATAAAAAGCTAACATGATAATCATTAGTCTAAGTTTAGATTTGCTTCATGTATTAATTCAACAAGCCAAGATTAATTTTTTCATGAGAATATGTAATAATTAGCTCCATGGATGAATTGCTGTTGATTTAGGCCACCACATGTAAAAAAAAAAAATCTAAAAGGGATTTCTGGAGAATTCCAAAAGCAAGGCAAATTTTCCCATGTGATGTTATAAAAGTGGTTCAAAGAGAAGACCCAATTGTGTAATAGACAGTATGATGATAGGGAACAAATTAACACCCAGTTGATAATGTTTATGTTTTTTTGTTTCTTATTTCCATTTCTTGTTTCTCGCATTCTCTTTTACGATTTTTGTTTCTTGTTTTAAAACGCCTACCATTTTAAATTAAATATTTAGTTTTTATTATATATTTTATAAGTAAAGAATGATAAAATACTATTTACATTTACGTTTTGGGGGGAAAAATAGAAATGAGAACAAGAAACTAGAAATTTGAGGCCCCGTTTGGTAACGTTCCTATTTCTTGTTTCTGTTTCTTCATATTTAATGAAGAAAAATGAATTGCATGACTCAAACACTCATGAATTCAAGTATGATAAAACAATTTTTTTTATTGATGTGTTGGAATAAATTGGAAATGGGAACAAGAACGAATAAACTTGTTTTGGTTGTTTTCAAAATTTCTATACAATTGCAAGAATGTTCCCAGAAAAAGAGAAACAAAAAACAAAGCTAGTCGCAAAATGCTTAGATTTCTTAAGAAAATTGGAAACAAAAAACAAGAAACGAGAACGTTACCAAACAAGCCTTTAATTTTTTTTTTGTTTATAAAATTTCAAACACTTATGTTTCTAAACCATTGAAAATGAGAAACGAGAAACAAAAATATTATTAGACGGGTCTTAAGAGATCTATACGAGGATTAGTTTCTACCTTGTGAGATGGTTTTCAAAATTGGCACAAAATAGCAATAATTAGCCAAAGTTGAGTAACTATCATAAAGACGAGTTGCTCATAGTATCCTATCTAACCAAGGAAATGTCCAACAACCTTGAATTCTTACTCTCTTTTTGTGGGCTATATGATTTAATGATTCCTTAAAAAAAATTTAATAGAAAAGAGAAAGATGTGATGATCATTCATAAGAAAGTCACCTACATGATTGAACCTTCCTCGACTTAATTAGAAATTTATAGACATTTCTTCTATTCTTCTAGGTATAAGAATACAACTTCAAGACATATTATAAAACACTTGTCACGCTCAACAATCCGTATAAGTCTTCGTAATTTTATTTTTGACATTTCACCTAAAAAGCCTCGAGAAATTGGATGGGTTGACTTAAAATTTTGTACCAGTGAGATATGTCTGCTCTATAAAAGCTTGTTTTTCTAATATTTTATTAAGTCACCCCATCACCTGAAATTACTCCGGCGTACTGCATTTCTTTCTTCCTATCGTCTTTTTTTGGTACAACATGATCAAACTTACAACCTGTTGATTGGACATACATACCAATTATAGTTGAGTTATGCTTGCTTTGACTCGTCCTTTTTCTTTTTGTTACTTTTCTTCTTGTCTGTTTCATTTTAGTAATTTACGTTTCATCTTCTGCTTTCACTTTTTTTCTCTCTGAAAATTAAAAATCAAAATGTTAGGTTGGAATTTTATTTTTTGTTTTTTGTTGTCGTCAAAATCAAAATCTTTCGCTTATTATTGTTTTTGTTGAATGCTTATTATTTTTTCCTCTTCTCTCAAAATTAAAATCTTTCGGTTTATATGTT